TCAAACTCGTTGCTTTTGTGCTCAGTGTACTTAATATCCTCTAACCTCAAATGCTGTTTACAATTCCCGATAGTTCTCTGTAAATATTTAAGTCTCATGTTGCAATAGTTGTTGGAAAGGCATATGTCCTTAGTTATGTTATATATTAATTATATGTCCCTTTTGTTTATCATATCCTATAAGCACTTTCAGATATATGTACATATGCACGCAAATGTATCTTCACCGGCCTTCAACGGCTAGGGTCTTCCTTTCTCAATTGAACTGTACTTTTTATTCATTGAGGAAATATGTTTGGAAGGATTTTACTAACTAGTGTAGACAGAAGTTTGTCAGAATGGGAATCTTCTCTTTAGTAATGGCAGGTGTCTCTTTGTATTTAAACGTTTATTAGTATAATTTCTTGACTCAAATAAAAGTAAGAGCATGGTAAGGAATGTTTCAAATTAGGTCTTTAATTTGAATTAAGGATAATTAAGTCTTTTAGTTGGTGATCTGTAAAATGATATTACAGCTTTACTATTTATAATTGACATTAAGAATGACTCTTGAAATCACAATTTCTAATTCAAAGTCATGCAATAGCAACTTTCTAAAACACTGCCAATAATATAAAATATTCTCTGAAATCTTCAGTCACAAAAGCAGTTAAAACAGTTCCAAAACAACAACAAAAAATCTCCACTCTGATATTAAGAAACAATAAATAACTGGTTTAATATTCTTTTAGCTTTTTACTGATTAATTCTACCAAAACATGGTAAGGTTTTGTAGTCGATTTGAGTTATGTTGAAAAAATGGCAGGAATACATTATACTCTATACATATAATTTGCCTGAGTATGGCCAGAAAAGTTTTAGAAACAACAAATTTTGGGGGGGCTTGGGTGGTTCAGTCAGCTGAGTGTCCATTCAACTTTTGATTTTGGCTCAGGTCATGGTCCCAGGGTGATGGGATTGAGCCCTGCATCCTGCTCCAATCTGAGCAGAGAGCCTGCTTAAGACTCTCTCTCTCTCTTTCTCTCTGTCTCTCCCCCCCCCTACTTATTGACCCCTCTCCTCTGCTCACTTGCTCTCTCTAAAATAAAAATAAATAAATAAAAATTAAAAAAATAAAAAAGAAATAACAAATTTTGTTTAATCATTTTCTACAATTATAGTGTAAAAATATGAAATAAAGCTTTTTGAATGTTTCTGTAAGTAATCTCTAAAGTTTTTGAAATTTCTACTTTTGCATGGTAATCAATAATATCAGAATGACTTTAATTGGATGTCCTGAATTTAATTACTTGAGGCAGCTGAATTTACTGATTACTTTGATTTCTTTCATTCATTCATATTTTTGAGCTGGGGACCAGGTGTTACTATAGTGACAAAATGATAAATGGCCACAACTTTCAGCTCTGACATCAAAATAAATACCTCATATTTATCAATTTGCACACAATTGATACAAAATAAATTACTGAACATCAGAATTGAACTATAAAAAAATGAACAAACTCTGCTTTTTTCATAAACACAACCCTTTGTATCACATGTGATTTGCAAGTGACATTAGGAATATGGTCTCTTAAATATACAGCCTGTGGTTAAGCTGAGAAGTAGATACCCTAGATGTGTCACTAATAAGCCATGTGGCCTGGGGCAAATTATTTATATGTTAGTTTTCCCATCAGTTAAATGGGGATAATGGGATTACTATAAGGATAAATTGAGTTAAATATACAAAACATTTAGAAAACAGTTCACATGTAATTAATGCTAGCTAGTATAATATGACCATCATTATTAATTGCTATATCCAATAAATCATTTTTTGAAATCCTTATGTTACTTCTGTATTCTAGTTGGAGAAGATATAACTCATTCATGTTATACAGTAGAGCCATTTTCTCATTTATTGTTTTGATGATACTCAAAATTAACACAAATATTCTATCTTCTTACGGGTGTTCTTTGTGAACTTTTCTTGTCTTTGTTTCTTATCTCAATTCATGAGTATATGATAACTCTTCAACATGGAGAGAAAATGGTATCAGAACACTGGAAATTGAGACACTCACTTCTACTTTAAACTTCCTTACAATATAACACCAAGAGCAAATTCTGTTGTTCTTTCTCCATGACTAATAAGTAGGTGTTTACAGCAGGAAAACAAAACAGAACAAAATAGAATATGTAGACATGTAGAAGGAGTGACTATTAGATAAAACTCTAAAAAGTATTATATTTTTACAAAATTAAGAGGGCATTATGGGGGAAGGGAGAAGATTAGTCCTGAATATTTTGAAGGGGGGAGAGTGATAGGTGATTATGTGACTTAGGAAGTTATTACATAATTGATCCTTTGCACAAAGAAGCTTCCATAAATCTTTTTTCCTTGGTTTAATCAACAACAAAAGTCCTCCAACACTACTGTTTTATGGAATGTAGAAAAAGTGGTTCCCAGCTTTATTCATGTTTTCAAAGTAAATATTATTCATGTTTAAAGTCATGTTTAAAATCAATGGCTTCAATTTCTATTACCCTAATGGAATTTAATATTTGTATCTTTCTCACTTTGATCCCTGGAGAGGTATTGCCATACTTCCTCTATCCTCCAAGGTTCCTTTGCAGGTGCACCAGCTGCAGGTACTCCTGGACCTCGTGGACTGTAATATGATGGATATTGTGTGGATGCTATTGCCTAGTTCTCTGAAATTAGTCACAATCGGGAAGGAATGATGCACTCACTCCATATTGCAATGGTTTTACTCTTAGGCAATGTCTTCTCTAAGCTATTGTAAATCTTGGCTTTTTTTTTTCATAGACCTAATTTGAGTAATTGTGCCAATGGTCTGTCTCATAGCCAAGGGCACAGGCTCTGAAGTTAGACTGCATTAGCTTTCAAACCCCTTCTCTTCTATTTATTCACTGTGTAAATTCTGGCAAATTATATGCCCTTTTCTGAGCAGTTACCTCCTCTGCAAAGTGGGGATAATTATAATGTGTCCTTCATAGGGCATTAAGAAGGAATAAAGGGCTATAGGGAGAAAAACTGTATAAAGAAGGGGCACCTGGGTGGCTCAGTAGGTTAAGCATCTGACTGTGGCTCAGGTCATGATCTCACAGTTCATAGGTATGAGCTCGGGGTCAGGCTCTGTGTTAACAGCTAGCTCACAGCCTGGAGTCTGTCTTCAGATTTTGTATCTCCCTCTCCTCTGACCCTCCCCTGATCATGCTCTCTCTCTCTCTCTCTCACACATAAATAAAAAATTTTTAAAAATTAAAAAAAAAAACTGTATACAGAAGAAATATACAGCTAAAAGAAGAGTTTCTGGCACATTTTAAATATGAGATTAGTTGAAAGTCTACCAAGAAGTTTGCATTTCCCACCATGTTCAGCTTCCGGATCCTACTTTTACATTTGGCTGTACTGTGCTACAGCAGGGAATGCAGCCTAAAGTATTAAAATGGAAAATAGTGAAATAGGGCAGAATAAATCTCATGGCAGAAATAAATTTTAAATTTGCATAAAAAATTGTAAGTTAAAAATCAAGGGTGAAAAAATAGAAAAATATTCATCTGACACCAGATAACATGATATAAACTGTCTTTGTTGTGTTCTTTGAGGCAGCCCATGTAACTGGCTCATCAAAGTCTTAACGAAAATCAATTCCTTGGGGGGGGGGGGGCTTGGTGGCTCAGTTAGTTTAAGTGTCCGAATTCAGCTCAGGTCATGATTTCACGGTTTGTGAGTTAGAGCCTGCATCAGGTTCTGTGCTGATGGCTCAGAACCTGGAGCCAGCTTCAGATTCTATGTCTCCTCTCCCTGCCTCTCCTCTGCTTACACTCTCTGTCTCAAAAATAAATAAACATTTAAAAATAATTTTAAAAAAAGAAAACCAATTCCTTGTGTGTATGCTGTGTGAATTATCTTTACCATAAAATAAGGCCCCCAAAGAATAAGGAGATAGAGTTTGATCATACAGCCATTATTCGTACAATGCATACTCATTAAAGGCACAGCTCACTGCTTGTGGAGGTATTATTTTTATGTTACTCTCTAAGACTAAGCATAAATTAATACACTATTAACTATACCTCGCTTTCTCATTTTATAGCACTCATCTGCTAGGTTGTAACACTGAAAATATTTTTCACCTATTTCATGTTCAAATTGAACATACATATCAATCCCACACACACACACACACACACACACACATCCACACAAAAGTGTTTTTAGTAAAGAAGCTGTTATTATTTGTAGGTAATCTGGTGATTTATATATTTTATGAAATTTAGTGACTTTTGCATAATAAAATACAGCATCTTTGAGCAAATTCTGGACTTTAACATCACAGGGCATAAAACTGAAAGAATATAGGAGTTTCCGAGAACAGAATATAGTAAACTCCATCAGCTTCATGAAATCAGAACATCAGAATGAGAAATCTCCTCAATCATCTTCTGAAATAGAAAAGGTATGCCTCTCTTAATTGAGAGAGTTCTGCTTCAGTGGTTTTACAAATTTTAACTTTTTTCCTTTTTTAAATAAATACTTTGCTGGAGTGAAGTGAGGACCAATGCCCAGCCACTCCCTCACATCACCCCACAATTGAAACTCATACCCTCTCAAGTCTCACGTCTCCTGCCTACCTCCATTCTCTGAGGTATTGGTCCCCTACTCCAATACAACAGTTTGAAAGTTTGAAACTCACTGTTGAAACCCAGCCCTTCTTTTTAAAGTCAAATAAAGCAAAGGACTGAAGGAATAAAAACATTTTCTAAGGCAACATAGTGATTTAGTAGTTGAGAATGTAATTTTGGTTTCCAGCCTTCCTGTCTTGAGTTTTATAGAATATTCTCCTTTATTTTAAAGAACAGACTATGAGTTAGTATTTGCTTAAAGTCTTCCTCAAGTTTTAAAATGTTTATATTTGTGTGAGTATACAGGAGATAAGGCACTGCATTGTATATGGAATTAATTCCAAGTAGAGGCAGTTTTATACTTACTCTTGTGTTGTTTCTTTCAGCTTTCAGTTCAGAAATTTCTTCTTCCTTTTCTAGAAGTTGTTCCCTACAGGCATTGAGTTCTTTTGTCAGTGCAGCAAATTCCTGAAAAGGGAATAAAAATATTTGAAGACATATTTCAGATATAAAAAGAAATGTTTTCCAGGAATAAAATAAACCAAAATATAAACTTCTGAATGTAAAAAATGAAAATAATGACTTCAATGACTGGAAGATTTTATATATATATATATATGAGATTATATATATATATACATATATATTGCTGTTATTAAAATAATTTGGTTCCAGGGTTCAGAAAATGCTAATCCATGATATTTAGCATTCATACTTTTTTATAATATGCTGCTTAGGTGAGTGTATAAAATATATTTCAAAATGTATCAGATATATCATATTGTAGTTAACATTAGTATGACAATATACTCATAATATATAGAGAATGATTTAAATTTGGCTAACTTTGTGAACAACTCCAAAAAATCTCACACTTTCATCCCTGTTCAGCAATGTTCAGAGTTCAATCATCAAAATACATACACAAAACAAAACAAAAACCATTACTAATACCAACAAAAATTCTACTAAATGTTATGATATATAGAGATTAAGATGTTCATTTATATGTTAACAAAATGAAGAAAGAGAATGTACCTCTTACAAAATGATAAATATCTATTAATAACATCATCCAGCAAATTATTAATTTATACATTATTCAGTTCTTCCCTCTGAAGCATAAGCTCCACATGAACTGGACTTTGTCTAGACTTCATTGTCACACTTTCAATGTCTAAGACATAGCAGGTACTCAGTTTTCATTTCAATAAAAAAAACTGACGGTTCTGGAGTAAGCCTCTCTCCGCATGACAAATGACACTTTGGAGGAATCTTCAATGGCTTCGCCAAAATGGGATCAGAGATCGTATGATCTGGGTATTTTTACCATGAGGCAGAGAGTTCAGACACAGTAAAGATTACTTAAAAATAAAACCGAGAAAATTTAATTATTTGGCTACTCCAACATGTAAGCAAATATTATTTTAAAATAATTTTGAAAGGTAGTAAACAGATCCATGTTATCATTACAATTATCATTAAGTTATTTAAAAGTGATTCGCAGTAATACAACTGAGAATTGTCAAACGTTTGTCAAATATTTAAATATTTGTGAAAATAGCTCTGTGCTAAGAAGTCACTGTCAGAGGATCTAACATAAAAATGAAAATCAGTTTTGGTTAACCTAACCTCTCTCAAGGCAAATATAGTCAAAAGTAAGTGAATATGATGATTACGCAAAGCTGGGAAAGGTTTAAGGTTTATATTTTTGCTTGTTTCAAACCACTTATTTTGCTGTTTCCCTCTGAGTGGCTTTAGCCCAAGTGGGTACTTCAAAGACCTCGGAGTGGTCTAAGTAGACTTAGAGCTTAGAATCAAGATGAAAGAGTTCACTGTTACACTTAGGCTAGCATTACATATAACTGTTTTCTCCCCTGATTGCTGCCTGCTTGAATGTTGTTGATAGTCTCTGAATATATTATTTAAGTGGAGAATGGAAATAAGCAACAAGTAGAAAATAATAAATATTTCCATAAAAAACAAAACTTTATAAGAACAGCATAATTGGGGTGCCTGAGTGGCTCAGTCAGTTAAGTGTTCAACTTTGTCTCAGATCATGATCTCGCAGTTCGTGAGTTCAACTCCCGTGTCAGGCTGTGCTGACAGCTGAGAGCCTGGAGCCTACTTTGGATTCTGTGTCTCCCTCTCTCTCTGACCCTCCCCTGCTCATGATCTGATTCTCTCTCTCTCTCTCAAAAATAAACCTTAAAAAATTATTTAAAAAAGCATAATTTTGATGGAGAAAAAAGAAAGTCACAATTCTATATTATATATTGCTAACGTATAGATATTTAAAAGTAATCTTTATGGATATTTCTAGACAAAACATAAATGAAACTTAAAAATAACTTCATATCAGTTTTAAAAAATATATATTTATCTTTCTAGAGATTTAGCTTCCTATGTACAGAAAGACAAAATATCAGAAAGAAGTATTTTAGAATTTTAACATGATATATTTCCAGGTGGTAAAAAAATAAGTAAGGTTTTTTGTTTTTCTTTTTTTGCTTCCTCCTATGTATTTTTATCATCAAAATCTCTACAATGAAGAAATGTGCTTTTATGATTAGAGAACAGAAAAAAACACAAATCTATAAATGTACTGAAAAAATCATGTATTCAAAACCAAGGACAGTAATTGGGTAAGATGTTATTGGTGATTGATGACTTTGGATTTATTTGTTATCATGGAACGTAATCTGAGCAAGCTCTTTGGTGACTCCAGGTATTAAGATTAATTTTAAATTTATTAACTTCCTAGCAAATTTCAGGCACTACTTTGACATTCCTTATTTCTTCTTGTTCTTTAAGTAACGAATCGGGTAGTCTCATTCCCATTTAAGGGCTGAGAGAACTGAAATACTAAGACTGAAATCCAAGTTCTTGAAGATCACAACGCATAGAAAGAGAGTTAGACTGTGAACATAGTTTTTCAGACCACCTGTCTAGTGCTTTTCCACTGTATCTCTTGACCCTAGCTGTTAGTCAGGCTTATATGATTCATATTTGAAGTGCATTTATCAGTATTTTCCCCTTATATGAATAATTAGATAACCATTACTTAAAATTATCCTTCTTACTTAGTCCAAAGGGAGTATGGGGAACTAGGAGGCCCAAGGCAAAGTATACCTTCCGTGTAGAGTAACAAGAATTTAACAAGCGCATCCTGGGATTGCAATAGATGCTGACACCTCATATAGAGTTAATCATCAAATGTTTTTATACTTTTCCTCTGACGTTTCCTCTGTACCAACTTCTCCATCCTTACTGTGAAAATGAACTGAGTTTTATATATCTTTTATGAGATAATAATGACACCAAAAATAATTAACATTGACTCAGCCTTTACAATATACCAGGTAATCTGCCAATCAATTTATATTATCTCATTAATCATAATATAACTCTGTAACAAAATGCTAGAATGTCACTAAATAAAAGTAAACATTCATATGCAATCCAGCAATCCCACTCCTTTGCATTTACCCAAAGGAGTAAAAAAATATGTTCACACAAAACTATGCACATAAATATTTACAAGAGCTTTATTTATAATTGCTAAAACTTTGAAAGCAACCAAGATGCTTTTCAATAGGTGAATGAATAAACTTTGGTACATTCAGACAATAGAATATTATTCAATTCTAAAAACAAATGAACTGGGGTGCCTGGGTGGCTCAGTTGGTTAAGCGTCCAACTTCGGCTCAGGTCATAATCTCGTGGTTCGAGGGTTCGAGCGCTGCATCGGGCTCTGTGCTGACAGCCAGCTCAGAGTCTGGAGACTGTTTCATATTCTGTGTCTCCCTCTCTCTCTCTCTGACCCCCCTGCTCGCTCGCTCTCTTTCTCTCTCTCTCTCAGAAATAAATAAAAACATTAAAAATTAAAAAAAAAAGAAATGAGCTATCAAGACAGGAAAAGACATGGAGGAAACTTAAATGCATGCTACTAAGTGAAAGAAGCCATTCTGAAAAGGCTATGTACTTATTGTATGTTTTCATATATGACAAAAGCGAAACTGTGGAGATCAGTGAATGGAAGGGGTTGGGGAAGAGGGATGAATAGATGGAGCCCAGAGGATTTTTAGGACAGTGATAATACTCTGTATGGAATAATGCTGAATACATGTCATTGTATATTTATCTAAACTCAGAATCCACAACACCAAGAGTGAACAATTACCAAAAGTAATGTAAACTGTGGACTTTGGGTGATAATGATGTCTTACTGTATGTTCATCAGTTGTAATAGATGTAGCATTTTGATGGCGGGTGGGGGAGGTGATAATAGGAGAGGCTGTTCATGTGTGGAGGCAGAGGGCACATGGGAAATCTCCATCACTTCCCCTAAATTTTGCTAGGAACCTAAACCTGCTCTAAGAATATGCAGTCTTAAAAACAAATCTCACCGAGGCCTAGTGATATTAAGAAATTTGCTCTATGTTAGAGAGTCAGTCAGTGGTATAGGTGATAACTTGTTTTTTCCTGCTGATCTAATTTGTTCTTCTTTCAGAATTTGGAAAAAATTTTCTTTCTCAGGCTCACAAAACTTCTCAGAGCTTCCTACTTTCAAACACACCAAATGTAAACAGACTTTAACTTTGAAAGTTCAAACACTCTAAAACATGGCCCTTTCATAATTAATTCACTTTGTCATTGAACAATAAGCAATTACCCTTTTGGGTAGGGGACATTTTGCTCTGCCCTGAGATTAGCATTTCATATGAATTATTTAATCTCTTCCTTAGTTTTTCAGATGAGGATGCTGAAGCTTATCATGGATGAATAACTCGCTCAAGGTCATACATCTACAAATAATCCACCCTGATTCCAAAACTCTTTAATTTCTGCAACACTGCTTTCTTTGGGCTGAAAATGAAAATTCATCGAATGTCTTAATAGTTCCAATTGATACAGGCTTATCACCCTTCTTATCCATTCACGCATACAACATTTATTGGGCACCGACTATATTTCAGACACACTCCTAGGTGCAGAAGATATAGAGATAACATTGTGGCTGCGCTTGACCTCATAGGTCTTTCAGAATTCACATCTGAGGGACATTAGGGATTTTCATCACTCAAAACCCATCACTAAAGTTATACACACTTATTAATGTTAGTCTTCGTTCTTAGAGACATTATTGATTTACAGGTGACTCTGAACCTGTAAAGTTTCCTTCTTCGAAGGTCTGTCTTCTGCATCAAACACAGATTTTTCTTTCTTTTTTCTGTTTCACCTTTCCATTTCCTCATCTCTCCTTTTCTATTTCTTTCTTTCACATACAATCTCTTAAACATGCTCTTCCTATACTCCTTATATTTCCTTACACTCTTCCATATCCTCCCTGCTTAATTTATTTTTAAATTAGCAGTATGCATTGCTTTTTTAATATAATTTATTGTCAAATTGGCTTCCATACAACACCCAGTGCTCATCTCAACAAGTGCCCTCCTCCATTCCCA